GGCAGGAGGATCGCTTGAGCCCAGGAGCATGAGACCAGCCCAGGCAACAAAGCGAGACCCTGTCTCTATAAAATAAAAAGAATAATAATGTTTCAGGATAACTTGGTTTCAGATTTGGGAGGATTTCGGATTTAGAATTTTTAAAGTAGGGATGGATGCTCAACCTATATTACCCAGAGAAGCAATCCTCTTCAAACCAGTCCCACTGTTTATCTCCCACAATTATGCTTTCCCAAGTTACTCAAGTGGAATTCAATGAGGTCATGTACCACAAAACGGTGTCTAGTAAACATTCAGGTTTACCAAGATCAAAAAAAAACACCAAAAAATTTAAAAAACCAAAAAGGGTAAAATTAAAGATTAAAAATAAACTTTTTAAACTTTTTCTTTTGTACTGTATGTGTAACGCGACAGAGCACTTTATGTTACACAAAAGTTTTGTTCAAAGCCCAGCTTCTGGGAACCCAAATATTCAACAACAAAAAAAGTAAGCACACACACAGAACAAGGACAGTTTCCAGACTGTGATATAACTAAAATCAGAGAGCATATTTCAAGTGGGGTCTAAATAACACAGTTTGATTTGGCCTAAATAACAGAATAACAGTAAACCTATTTTAAAACGTGAGTAGTCAAAAAAAAAAAAACCACCCAGGAGGTGGAGGCAGAAGTGAGCCAAGATCGTGCCACTGCACTCCAGCCTGGAAACTAAAGAAATTTGCCAATACTAAAATTAAATTCTGATTGTAAACAAGATTTATTTTCAATAATGTGACATAAAAAGAGAAAGCATTATTTCAACATTTTTTAAGTTAAAAAAAACTTTTTTTAAATCGAAGTAACCGTGAATAGAATTTCTAATTAATAAATTCAAGAGTAGATGAAAATACGACTTAGGAAAACCTTCAATGCTTAAGATTTGTTAATATTAGCTAATTATGATAGAAAAAAAGGGTTAAATGGAAGTTTTTGGAGGATGGCAATGCATATCATCACAGCAATTATTTGTTAATCCTCTGCTTGCAACGAATAGTCTATAACCTTAAACTCATTCTACATAGAGCATTATGTCTGTTTCAGAATCAGAAAAACCGATCTAGGTTCAAAATATACTTTGCCACTTGCCCAAGATAACCCATCTGGTGTTTTAACTTATCCAGATTAATCTTATCTGTAAAAGGTGGACTTCATTTACCTATCAGGGCTTCAAAGATTAAAGCAAACAATCTATAGGTGTTAAATTAGCTCCTCCTCGCTGTCATTTAAGTTTTTAATTCGCTGCGGTGCCTATCACTGTGGTAGTCAGTGGTGACGGCAGATGCTTTTTAAAATGCAACACTGGTTAATAGTGCTTAATATTTTATCATTACCAATACTAGACAAAACATAAAGCAAAATGCCTTTAAGAAGCAATGACTAAAGCAATGGTTCGAAAACCTCAACTTACATGAAGAATCATCTGAGACTAGTTGCTAGAAAAGCAGATTCCAGAACTTCCACAAGAAGCCTAGAGATCTGCATTTAAATAAGCATCCAGTTGACCCAGGTGCAAGTGGTCCCGCAACAGCATTTAAAAAGCACTGATCTAATGAGTAAAGAAAAACACCTTTTGACCTTGAGCATCTCACTCAATCTCTTGGGGCATTAATCCCCTCCACACAAGGGATAGTACCTACTTTCCTTACCTCAATGTTGAGATTATAATTAACCTTATAGGCAAACCTAGTTATCTGCAATAACTGTGATTCTAAAATCGTTGATCTTGAGTTCCCTATGTCAAGAGATTTCAACATTTCCTCCCGCCTCCATTAAAGATGAATTCTTCCTAAACCTCTCAATTTTAGAATTATTGCTGCTCCTCTTTCCCCGGTAAGACTTTCTCACTGCAGCAATGATTAGCCTGGAGTTCTATGTCTATAATACCATCTGGTGGAACTAGAGCTCAGATTACCTTTTCAGAAACCCTAGCCCTGAGAGGAGGCCTGCAAATATTTGATCCAATCAGGTCTTGAATAGAGATAGCCGACTATCAAACCATAATGAGGATACGTGAGGGAAGAATGTACTTTAATTAAACCTCATATTGGCTAACGAAGGGCTTTAGGCCCACAGCGGAGAGAAAAGTATCAGTTCCCAAGTTCGAGGCGGAAGACCCCAGAGACACCACTTTCTCGCATTCAGACGTGTCTACATAAGACCACAAAAGAAACCGAAGCAGAAACATCCAGAAACAGGCTCCGGTTGTCTCAACATAAAGGAGAGTACATACGAAAGGAGAGAAGGATCGGAAAAGTAAGGCTAAACCCAGTGCACGGACTCCCCCATTCTTCCTTCTCCCCCTCTCTCTCCACAGACTGAGGTACCTTGGGCGGCCGAATTTTGCAGATGCCGGTTTTCTCCGCCAAAGGCCGGATGCGGCCGATAAAGCTGAGCGGATCTGTGAACTCCTCCCAGCTCGGCTCAAAGACGGGGCACTCCGGGGGCGGCACGAACTCGGCCGCGTAGCCCCCCGGCCCCACGCCCGCCATTGCAGCGGCCGGGGGGGGGGGTCCCCGTGGGGAACCGGTGGAGAAAAGCTGGCTGAAGCCCACTGAGCCCGTTCACGTCCCCTGACAGGGGCCGAAGCGCATCTTCGCGGAAAAGAACCGCTCAACACAGACACCCCAGAACCGCTTCCTCCTCCCGTTTGTTATTGTTTCTTGCAAGGCTTTTCCTCTGAGGGTCAGGACTTTTCCGGAAGTTACTGTGCTGTCAAATCCCTCCGCCCCCGCAGGAAACGGAATCCTTCCGCAGCGGCGCGACGCCCGGGTATCTGGCCCTTCCTCCTTCTTCTCTTGCCCGGCAGCCCGTTGTGGCTGTTTCTCTCCTTGCCTGCCAAAGTTCTGCCCAGTCCAACGACTCCACGCGGCTCGCCCTGGGTAGGGGGTCGGGGAGAGGCGCAATCTCTCCTTCACTAGAGGTGGGGACAGAGCCAGGCCGACGGGGCGAGGCGAGGCGCGACGCGTTCTTCCGGCGCGGAGGAATGTGTAATGCCCCAGAGGGCAGAGGTTGTGCTTCCGGTGAGGAGGGTCCCTTTCCCTTTTGTGTGTCGGTGTAGTCGAAATCACGCAGGGCTTAGCGTTAGCCCCCCAGCCTCGCCGCCCGTGCTTCGTGATTTGTTTTAACCTACCCTGCTGCGTTTCTAGCAAGTAGCCGTTCCAGCATTTCTCTTTTTTTTAGCCCTTTGAATGCAGGTATTTTACAGTAATCTCACTCTGCCACTTTATACCCGCCTCTTCTCCAGGAAAACAAGTGCAGGTCTAACCCATCCCCTAAATCCTGCCAGCTGGCTTTAGCCACCATCCAGGAATTGCTTTTCCTTTTACACAGAACACAGCAGCTCTTCTGAATTACCAGCCAGTACTGTCTAGCTACCTACAGGACATCTCACTCTGATAACTCAAAGTACTTTGATTGGTCACTATTTCTTCAGTGTTCCTGGTTTCATTAATACCTTCATCTATTCAGTTGCCTGAGGCAAAAAAAAAAAATCAAGAAATAGTCCTCATGCTTTCTGCTCTCACTTCCCATGCATAATCGTGTGTCTCTCCATCCTTGTTACCAGTATCCTAATTTAAATACTCTTACTGACAACAGCTCATTTCTTTTCTCCTCTGAAATCCCTCTCCATTCTCAAGTTGGATTGCTTTGTCTAAAATCCAGAATTCATCTTGTCACTTTTCATCTCCAAACTCAACAACTCCAAACATCTTTTTTAATTGCTGATTTGCTGCTTTACTCTCCAGCTTCATCTCTACTGCTTCTCCATATGATCTACAGAAGTCTTTGTTGTGACTTTAGTACACCATGATTTTTCTCACCTCTGAGCCATCACACATATTTCCTCTGTCCAGAACATTTTTGTACTCTGCTGACCCAAAATCATTTGTATCATTATATCCCCTTCCTAAATTTCTACTCATCCTTCATTTAAATAAATATGAAGGATTAGGCTGAGCGAATCTGTGAACTGTGAACTCCTCCTTCATATTTATTTAAATAATATTTATTTAAATAATAATAATAATAAATAATATTTATTTAAATAAATATGAAGGATTAAATATCACTTCTGGATAGCCTTTCCTAATCCCAAAAATTGGTGTGGTCAGCAGCAACTTGTACTTCCTTGTCAAACTTTTTGAAATTGCATATTTAATTGCCTTTTTCCCTCAAACCGTAAGTTACACAAAGGCAGGGACAGTGTCTGTCTTGTTTTCCCAGCTCCTAGAATAGTGGTTGGTGTATAGGAGGTGTGCAATAAATATCTGCTAAATAAATGATTCACAAACCAATTTGCCTTGTGTGCCGTTGCCTCGTCCTACATTTACGTATGCCACGTTTTGTTTGAGACTGTACCAGCATGTAACATACACAATATCCCTCCTCTTGATTATAGCATCCACAAAAGTTAATGTCCACTTACTCATAACCCCCAGCCTAAACCCACAGACACTTTCGCAGATAGTTCGGTTTCAGTTACCTTTTGTTGTGTAACAAATCACCTCAAAACTTAGTGGCGGAAAATAAAAACGACTAATGGCAATTCGGTGGGTTAGCAATCTGGTGTTGTCATGGCCTCACCTGGGATCACTCCTGCAATTATATCTGACAGCTTGACTGGTATGATGGTTAACCTGATGTTCAATTTGGCTGGGCCATGGTGCCCAGATACGTGGTCAAACATTCTACTGTTTCTGTTAGGGTATGTTGCAATGAGATTAACAAATCAGTGGACTTTGAATAACGCAGATTGCCCTCCGTAATGTGAGTAGGCCGTATCCAATCAAATGAAGGCCTGAAAAGAACAAAAGACTGACCTTCCGTGAAGAAGAAGGGATTTTGACAGTAGATGGCTCTCAGCCTTGAACTGTAGCATCACCTTTTCCCTGGTCTCCGGCCCGCCAACCCACCCCTCAGATTTTGGACTTGAAAGCTCTATAATCAAGTGAGCCAAGTCCTTAAAATAAATATCTTTATAAACATACACATGCACACACACATCCTGTTGGTTCTGTTTCTCTGGAGAACCCTGAATACACTAGGGTTGGAGGGTTCAAGATGGCCTCACTCATGTGTCTGGCAGTTGGTGCTGGCTATTGGCTGAAAAGTCTTAGTTCTCCACATGGCTTCTCATCTTCTTATGGTGGATGGAGCTTTTCCACTGCATGGTGGTCTTAGCATTCTAAGAAGCAAAGACCTAAAACCTAGACTCCAAAATGTACAAGATCACTCCATCATACTCTGTTGGTCGAAGCAAGTCATAAGACCATCCCAGATTCTAGAGGTGGTCAAATAAACTCCAATTTTTTATGGGAAGAGTGGCAATGTCACATTACAAAGGGTGTGGACACAGGAAGCTGTGTTTCATAATAATTCCATACAATTATAATGATTTACGTCCGGGTGCAGTGGCTCATGCCTGTAATCCCAGCACTTTTCGAGGCCGAGGTGGGCAGATCACCTGAGGTCAGGAGTTTGACACCAGCCTGGCCAACATAGCGAAACCCTGTCTCTATTAAAAATGTATAAAAATTAGCCGGGTGTGGTGGCGGGCGCCTGTAATCCCAGCTACTCAGGAGACTGAGGCAGGAGAATTGCTTCAACCCAGGAGGTGGAAGTTGCAGTGAGTCGAGATCGCGCCACTGCACTCCAGCCTAGGTGACAAGAGTGAGACTGTCTCAAAAAAAAGAAAAATATTTACAACAAAGTCTTTAATTTTTACCACTTAAATCTGGAAAACTATATTATTCAGAAAAAGAAATAATGGAATTCCAAATAAAACAAGCTACTCAATTCATTTTCTCAAACATTCAACTAAAATATAATGGTTTTGCTCTCAAATTAATGGAGGGTGAGAACCTGATAGAACCTCAGTCTAAGCACAAATCCTTAAAAGCTTTGACTGGTCCTATTTATTTCCTGTTATTTTCTTCAGATTTTACTTACCTATTGTTTTATTTTAAACTGTCTCTCTAGTAGAATAGAAAATGTACAGAGTAATGATTCTCAATCATTTTTATTTGCCACAGTACTTCTGAGAAATCCGTAGTGGTTGCTTACAACAGCAGGCAGTCTGTAAGAGAAGACGGTGAATAGAAGGACAGTAAACATTAGTATCTCTGGTGCGAACAGAAGAAACTTCTCTAGTTATAATCGCCTCACATTCTGATGCTCCCCTCAGGGAGGGTACATGAACCCCACTCCCACCTCTCATGCTTACCCCTTTAAAAATCACTGTTGTAAAAATCCAAATTGTGTTTTATCAGCTTCTGTGAGGGCATTCTGCACACACAATGTCAAACTGAGTCAATAGTATTTGGGTTTCTGGGCAGAATGGAGTATAACTGTAGTTTAAAAGGATCATTTGCATTATTTAAACAATCCTTGATAGTAACTTTTCAGAAAAAAAATATTAGAGTATTATTTATCTGAAATTTATTATCCTGAGTGTTAAAATAGACGAAAATGAATACCTAGATCTGATAATCATTTGGCTAGACTGTGGTCCCTGGATTTTTAAAAAATGCAACAAAACCTCACAAAATCAGATTAATTAAGGGAGGGTTAGTTTCAGAGAGAGAAAAGTCAAAATTACTGAATTTTTAAAGAAGTGTCCTTTTAATTCAAGAATAATTTCCACCAAGGCCAGCCACGATGGCTCACGCCTGTAATCCCAGCACTTTGAGAGGCCGAAGCGGGGGGCGGGGGGGATCACAAGGTCAGGAGATCAAGACCATCCCGGCTAACGCAGTGTAACCCCGCCTCTACTAAGAATACAAAAAAAATTAGCCGGTCACAGTGGCAGGTGCCTGCAGTCCCAGCTACTTGGGAGGCTGAGGCAGGAGAATGGCGTGAACCCGGGAGGTGGAGCTTGTAGTGAGCCGAGATGGCGCCATTGCACTCCAACCTGGGTAACAGAGCGAGACTCCATCTCAAAAAAAAAAAAAGAATAATTTCCACCAGTGATTCTCAAATTGTTTTGGTCTCAGGACACCTTCACTCTTAAAAACTATTGAGGCCAGGCACGGTGACTCATACCTGTAATCCCAGCACTTTGGGAGGCTGAAGTGGGAAGATCACTTGAGGTCAGGAGTTCGAGACCAGCCTGGCCAACATGGAGAAACCGCATGTCTACTAAAAATGCAAAAATTGGCCTGGCGCCGTGGCTCAAGCCTGTAATCCCAGCACTTTGGGAGGCCGAGGCGGGTGGATCACGAGGTCAGGAGATTGAGACCACTGCACTCCAGCCTGGGAGACACAGCGAGACTCCGTCTCAAAAAAAAAAAAAAAAAAAAAATGCAAAAATTAGCTGGGCATAGTGGTGGGCACCTGTAATCCCAGCTACTCAGGAGGCTAAGGCAGGAGAATCGCTGGAACCTGGGAGACAGAGGCCAAGATGGCGCCACTGTACTCCAGCCTGGGCAACGGAGTAAGACTCTGTCTCCAAAAAAAAAAAAATTACCGAGAACCCCCAAAGCTCTTGTTTATATGCATAATATATATTGATGTTTACTATATAAGAAATTAAACCTAAGATGTTTAAAATATTTTATTCGTTTAAATATAAAACTTTTATATTTATACATTTTAAAAATAATAACTACATTTTCCAAAACAAAAAATTTAGTGAGAAGAGCGGCATTGGTTTACATTTTTTATACCTTTGTTTAACATTTGGCTTAGCAGGATTGAGCTGCATTCTCATATCTGTTTCTGCATTCAACCTGTTACAATATGTTCTTTTTGTTGGAATATATGAAGAAAAACCAGCACCACACAAATATGTAGTTGGGAAAGGAAGAGCATTTTATTTATTTTTTATTTTTTATTTTTTTAGACACAGGGTGTCACTCTGTTACCCAGTTGGAGTGCAGTGGCACAATCCCAGCTTACTCCAACTCTTGGGCTCAGGCAATCCTCCTGCCTCAGCCTCCCAAGTAGCTAGGACCACAGGTGTGCATCAATATGCCCAGCTAATTAAAAAAAAATTTTTTTGTAGACATAGGGTCTTGCTATGTTGCCCATACTGATCTCAAACTTCTGGGCTCAGGGATCCTCCCACCTCGGCCTCCCAAAGTGCTGTGATTACAGGCATGAGCCACCATGCATAGTGGGGAGAAGCATTTTAATAACCTTCTCAGATAACTGTAATTTCCTAAAGGCTAACAATTCGGAATCTAAAACTTTATCAGTTAACTTTTTGTACTCTGTCACATTAAAATGGTAGTCAGTCTTGTCCTTTTTTTCTTTTTTGAGACAGAGTCTTGCCCTGTCCCTCAGGCTGGAGTGCAGTGGTGCGATCTTGGCTCATTGCAACCTCCGCCTCCTGGGTTCAAGAGATGCTCCTGCCTCAGCCTCCTGAGTAGCTAGGATTACAGGCGCCGCCACCATGCCCAGCTAATCTTTGTATTTTTAGTAGAGACGGCGTTTTGCCATTTTGGCCAGTCTGGTCTCGAATTCCTGGCCTCAGGTGATCCACCTGCCTCGGCCTCCCAATGTGCTGGGATTACAGGCGTGAGCCACTGCGCCCAGCCAATCTTGTCCTTGAATGGACTTTTTTACCCAGTCATGCTGTTGTAACATCATGCATTGGTCATTTAGAAAATACTGGTTCAGGGCCGGGCGCGGTGGCTCACGCCTGTAATCCCAGCACTTTGGGAGGCCGAGGCGGGCGGATCACGAGGTCAGGAGATCGAGACCAGCCTGGCTAACACGGTGAAACCCCGTCTCTACTAAAAATGCAAAAAATTAGCCGGGCGAGGTGGCGGGCGCCTGTAGTCCCAGCTACTCGGGAGGCTGAGGCAGGAGAATGGCGTGAACCCGGGAGGCGGAGCTTGCAGTGAGCTGAGATCCGGCCACTGCACTCCAGCCTGGGCGACAGAGCGAGACTCCGTCTCAAAAAAAAAAAAAAAAAAGAAAATACTGGTTCACTGAGTTATACAGCTCTTCCAATGTTGACACGTACTATTATATAATATCAAAACAATTTACAAAAATATCACCATCAATTTATCAGGCAATTGGGAAGCTGTCAAACTCATGACGACAGAAACAAGTTTCCCAAAATCATAATTTCCACCTGAAAGCTCACATTTCATTATTGCCAACAAATACCATTGGTTGTTTTCATTGAGGAGATTGACTCACTTTGTCCATTTTCAAGAAAAGATCTGCCGTATCTAAGTCTGAACAACCATAGTTTGTCTGTTAGTCCTTCTACTACTATTCTATGAAAAAAGCGACTAGCTGAGCTGGTATTATTTCCTCGAGAAAACTCTCTGGATGCAACTGGGTGTGTTATGTGTACTTCTTACTTCATCACACAGACAAAAGACATATTTAAAGGTCGAGATTTATTACAATTAATAATTTTTACTCCTTTATCAAAGGCATTCTTAAATGAAACTAGCTTTCCCCAGTGAGCATACGTAATGAAGGTATGGTTTGGTGTCACTGCCATGATTCATGCTAAGGGAACAGCATTTTACCCACTGTTGCTTTTGTACCATCCATTCTCATGTCAACAGTGAAAACGGCAAATAGCATCTTAGTATTACCATGGTCAATGCTGCTCTAGTTTAGGTCCTTTTCCTCATATGAATTTCCACTGTGGCCTTCCAAGGACCTTCAAGCATTGTTCTTATTTGATCCTTTGCCACCAGTGCGATTTTTAAAAATTATCAATTTGATGTTGTGTGATTGCGAGAGAGTGATGGATTTGAGAATGACTCCTTGGCATTGGAATGAATGATGATGCATTAATTTAGATATAGAATGGAAGAAGAGCATTCTAATGGGGGGAGGCAGCACACCTGCAGGGAGGAACATTATACCTGCATTCAACATTTATTCCACATCTCTGTGTGCCAGGCACTCTTCCCGATGCTGGATATATGACAGTGAACAACAAAAAAAGACAAAGTATCGGCTCTCATAGAACTCACATTCCAGTGGAAAGGGAAGACAAAAGAATAAGCACAGGCTAATAAATAGATACTATTTTAGGTGATGATAAGATCTTTTCTAAAGAAGAGAAAGTAAGGGAGATTGGGTGATCCTCAAAGGGCTCACAGATTGGTCACATTTGGTTTTTGTTTTTAGTTTTCTGAGACAGGGTTTCATTCTGTCACCTAGGTTGGAGTGCAATGGCACCATCTTGGCTCACTGTAACCTCAAACTTCTGGGCTCAAAAAATCCTCCCGCCTCAGCCTCTTGAGTAGCTAGGACCACAGGTGTGTGCCACCACGCCTGGGTAATTTATTTTTATTTTTCTATTTTCTATAGAGATAGGATCTGGCTGTATTTCCCAGGTTGGTTTCAAACGTCTAAGCTCAAGCAATCCTACTGCCTTGGCCTCCCGAAGTGCTGGAATTACAGGCATGAGCCACTGCACCCAACCAGATTGGTGACGTTTGAATAAAGGCTACTTTATAAAAATGAAAGGACAAATTGCTAAATGAATATCCAATCAGAAGGGATTACAGCTAGCCTTCCATATCCAAGGGTTCCTCATTTAGAGAGTCCATATCCACGAACCCAACCGACTACAGAAATATTTGGAAAAAAAATAAAAATAATAATAAAAAATAAAAATAATACAGATTAAAAAACAGTATAGGCCAAGTGTGGTGGTTCATGCCTGTAATCCCAGAACTTTGGGGGGCCGAGGTGGGTAGATCATTTGAGGTCAGGAGTTCGACACCAGAGTGGCCAACATGGTGAAGTCCCATCTCTACTAAAATACAAAAATTGACTGGGCTTGGTGGTGCATGCCTGTAGTCCCAGCTACTTGGGAGGCTAAGGCAAGAGAATCGCTTGAACCCAGGAGGCAGAGGTTGCAGTGGGCCGAGATCACACTACTGCACTCCAGCCTGGGCAACAGAGTGAGACGCCATCTCTAAATAAATAAGTAAATAAATGAAATAAAACAATACAGTAAATCAAGTGCAGTGGCATGCATCTATAATCCCAGCTACTCAGGAAATTGAGTCAGGAGGATTGCTTGAGCCCAGGGGTTTGAGTCCAGTCTGAGCAACATAGCAAGACCTTGTCTCTAAAAAATAAAAATAAATA